CGGTCGAAACTTTTGTCCCTCGGAGTTGATCGTTTGCTGCAGGTTCCAAGATTGAACCTTCAAGACAGCAAAGTGTTGTATATCTACTCCCGCGCGTTGCCTGAGCCCATCCGGGGACACCTGGTGGCCGAAGCAAAGTTAGGTAAGTATAATTATAGGCAATTTTGCGATCTTGCTCTGCAAAGGGAGCAAATGACTTCTCAAGTCAAAAACTCCTATGCGGCCGTAGTTAAGTCTGGAGGAGGAGGAGGAGGAAGGACGTACAATGAGAAACGAATTCTCTGGCGACAAAAGCGCCAGGACCACACCCTTGTTGTCTTCGATGATGACACAGTGGAAAAGTGGCCAATAGAAGATAGGAATGAAAAGGGTAACAACAGTGTCTCCGGGAAGGGGGAAGTCACTGCTGTTGTGGTCACCAGGGGAGGACCATCCAGAAATTCGATAAGGAAGAAACCGCGCGCATTTCCATGGCACCCTGGCATTGCCGAAGGAAAACCTTGGTTGAAGATGGGAATTACTCGCGAGACTTGGCAGGAGCGCATGGACAATGCGCAATGTCTTAAGTGCGGCACTCTGGGACATGTGATCGCATATTGCCTTATGATCCGGAACCCAAAAACGAGCAGCCAGTAGGAGTAGCATCTGCTCCTACTGAGATAAAGGGTAAGGATGAACAAACAGGTAAGGCGCCTACGAACCCTTCATACCCTTCTTCTCATATGGCAGAGGATGATTCTTCCTTAGCCCATCATTCAGACCGCCCTGATATTGTCTTATGTTTTGTCTCTCTGGATGACTCCCTTGATGAACTAGGTAATGAATTGCTAGCCTTACGTAACTCATGGGCTCGAAAAGCAAAGTCTAAGGGCGAATTGTTTTTTGCAGATGTTGAAATCGCACGAACACGAGTAGGTGCGTTGTTGGACCTCGGATCGACGAGGTCCTACATATCTGAGAAAGCAATCCGCAAGTTGCATCTCAGAATGAAGGTAAAAGACTTGTCTTGACCTATCACGTCTATATTAGCGGACAAGAGTACGATCACTGTCTCCCAGTATGTTGATCGTATTAAGTGTCAGTTTAGAACTAGAGAAGGGAAGAAGATTATGCATAAGTTATCCTTCTTAGTTGAAAATAATTTGCCCTTTGATCTCATTCTGGGTATGGACTGGCACGAGGAAGCCAACCCAGATATTGACTTCAAAGGCAAGGTTGTGCAACTTAAGGATGCACAATCTGAAAAGAAACCTATAAAATTATATCATAAGTCTGACTGCGACTCTAGTTTGTCTTTTTGCTGTACGAGTTATCCAACTTTCCGTTCAATCGTTTCAAAGAAAAAGTTGGAACAGGAAGTTATGATGGCATTAGTAAAGAAAGATGGTGAGTCTTCTTCTTCCTGCCCACCAACTATTGAAAGTCTTCTTTCTGAGTTTAAGGATTTGCAGACCGAACCTTCCGGAATCACGGAACGTGCTATTAAGCACACCATTGAGATCATTTCGGGTAGTAAGATTCCCAAGGGCCCTATCTATCGAATGTCTCCCAGGGAACTTGAGGAACTTGAGAAACAACTACAGGACCTTACTGACAAAGGAGGGATTCGCCCTAGCTCATCTCCCTATGGTGCACCTGTCTTATTCGTGCCCAAAAAGGAAGGTGAACTGCGTCTTTGCATTGACTATCGAGGGTTGAATGTCGTCATTGTCAAGAACGCCGAACCACTTCCTCGCACTGACGACCTACTTGATCAACTGCAGGGTTGTAAGTATTTCAGTAAGATTGATCTAAAGTCTGGGTACCATCAAATTGAGGTGGAACCTGCGGATCAACACAAGACTGCATTCCGGACAAGGTTTGGTCATTACAAGTTCGTGGTAATGCCTTTCGGTTTGATAAATGCCCCTGCGACGTTCCAACGATCAATAAATGAATTATTTCGTCAATGGCTGGATCAGTTCGTTATTGTTTATCTTGATGATATTCTCGTGTATAGTAAAACGTTAGAAAATCACGAGAAACATTTTCGTCTAGTGTTAGAGAAGTTGCGAAAAGACAACTTTAAGATAAACCCAAAGAAGTCTGAGTTCGCTAAGTCCGAAGTCTTATACTTAGGACATATAGTAAACGAAGAAGACCTCAGACCATAAGAAAAGAAGATATCAACAATTCGAAATTGGCCACGACCTAAGTCTGTAACTAAACTACGATCTTTCCTTGGTTTGACAAGTTATTATAGGAAGTTCGTCAGGAACTTCTCATTGATCGCCGCATCAATGAGAAGATTGTTGAAGAAAGGAACTATCTGGTTGCGGGACAAGGACTGTGAGTCTTCCTCTAAGAAGATAAAGTATGCTTTAACTCACTATCCTCTTCTGAAAATTGTTGATCCGTCACTTCCATTCATTGTCACTACTGATGCAAGTCAGTACGGAATTGGCGTTGTCCTGCAACAGAACGACGACAATGGTTACAGACCAATTGGGTTTATGTCCGCACGATTGCCATTAGAAAAGGTCGTCAACTCTACATATGAAAGAGAATTGTATGCCTTAGTCTGTGCGTTGGACACATGGAAGCACTACTTGTTAGGGAGACACTTCACTGTGTATTCAGACCACTCTACTCTGAAGTGGATAAAGACACAGCCTAGGCTCTCTGACAAGTTAGTACGATGGTCTGCATTCATTGATACTTTTGATTTTGAATTGAAAACTATCAAAGGTAAGTCTAATGTGGTTGCAAATGCATTGTCCAGACGTTGTGATTTCTTTGGTACTATTGTCTCTTACTTGGACGTTGGGAGTGATCTGAAAGATAAAATTCGTCAAGGATATACTACTGATCCTATTTGGAAACCTATCATGGATGTCCTTGCAAAAGATCTATCTCTACTTCCTAACTATAGAGTGATTGACGGTTTGTTTTTCTTGCTAGATTAAACTGAACAAAGATTGTGTATTCCTCATCAGAAGAAATTAAAGGTTTGTTGATTGGGGAATGTCACGACACTGATGAGGTTAGAGAACGCTTTGAATGAAAGGGATTGAAGGAAGATGGACTAACTTATGTACGTACATGTGTGGTGTGTCAGAGAAACAAACCTTCACATGAGAATCTACTTGGTCTTCTGAAACCATTACCGATTCCTAGCGAACCAGGTGAGTCTATCTCGATTGATTTTATGAGACTCACTAAAAGCCGAAACGACAATAGTCAAGTCATGGTTATTGATGATTGTTTCTCTAAATATGCCATGTTTATTCCCTTACCCGCAGAAGCGCGAACAAAACTTGTCATACAAAAGTTTCAGATGCGATGGGTGACTGAGTATGGTTTTCCTCTCTCTATTATATCTGATCGTGATGCCAGGTTCACAAGCATGCCATGGCAAAAGCTCATGGAAGCATACGGTACACGATTGACCATGTCGTCAGGGCGACACCTTGAAACGAATGGACATTCCCCCTCACCTAAAAAAGTATATTGTCTTTCACGCGTCCAGATTGTTACCCTATGTAGAAGGAAATGAGTTCCCACACAGACCTTCTATAATTCCGCCAGACATGGACGGCGGATGTGAGGTAGACAGAATCATAGAGCATGGGTACTTTTCTACAGGCGGACGTGGACGACCCCAGAAACAGTTCAAGGTACGTTTCAAATCTCAAGCACCATCTGAGGACAGATGGTTCAGTAAACGGGAATTACTTGAAACTGCTCCTGATATTGTATCTGCATATGAACGTGGGTTAAAGTCAGTTACTTCTGCGATGGAACTCGAAAGTGGGTCGGCAGGAATGCAGTAACCCATGTTCTGCAGCAGTCTGGGCCCTCAAAACGGAGCCCAGACGACGCAGGTCAAACTCGGCCTGCGCCAGGCAGTGTGACCACGCACTGCCTAGGAAAGTCAAAAGTCTAAGTCAACTGTCAAAGGTACCATGCCCAGGCCCTTGGTCGGATACATTCACTTGTTGTGCGCAGGTACCCGGACAGCATCAAGGCCACAGGGAGTTCAATTTCAGGCAAATCTCAGCCGCCATTTGTCTTGAGATCTCGACGGCTTAGTGAAGCAGCAACCGGGCTCCAGACCCTGCGTCAATGCTATATAAGCCTGGACTACCTGGCTGGAAGAACATTCTGTCTTGCGTCAATGCTGACTTCACGCATTGACTACGACGCTAGCGCGACGCTGCGACGCTGGCTGGACGCTGGCATTTGGACGACTACGGCGACGCGCTGCTGGCTCGGCATGGTGGCTGGCTGGCAATTGTCTTCTGGGCATGCTGATGTGGCAGCTGCCACACGCCGCCGCTGACGTGGCCGCTGCCACGTATACTGTTGATGACGTGGCGAGGCTACGTGACTGGTATTGCTGTTCTGATTCATCGTCACTCGGAAGGAGATCCTGACTGTGGGGCGATCGTAGATACGTACCTGGTTATTTCAACGTCGACATTGCTCCAGCTCGCTGATGAGGACTGATTGACGTGCCACGTGGCACATTGAGAGAGAACTTCAGATTTGTGTTTGAACTCTTGATTATTGAGGTGGCGAGCGAGGAGGGAGCCTGAAGCAGGAGTGGGCATTGTCTTCTTCTCGATTCTAAGTCTATTCTCCCTCCTCTCTCTTCCGTCTGTGTATGTTTCCCCCATCTCATTCTATCTGGACACGATTATGATTATTGACAATCATCAGCAGGTTGATATCTATCTGGGCTTGCATTGTTGACAAGTGTCTTCACGATCTGGGTTCATTGCAGGAGGGATTGACCTGGGGCTTGGTCAAGACATGGTGTACTTTTCCACTTTATCAAGAATAGTGGTACACATCTATTACAGTAACTATTAAGCAATAGCAATTATCAGATTATTATTTACCTCATGCACATTCAATTCCCTCTCCCACTCATGTGCTTGAGTCTTGACAATATCGTTGACAAAGCATTAAAAGAATGAATGAAATTAACAAACACGCTTTGTGTAAGGGGACATTACCTAAGCTTGCATTGAGGATGATCGGTATCCCACTGAAAACCTCCTTGGGTAAAGCCTCAAGAATAGGGAACAGCTGCATCAGTGGAGTGCGCTGAAAGCTCGTTGCTGCAGACACGCAAATTAAACAAAAAAGAGAGTGCACAAAGCTGACCAAGACTCCAAGAGCATAAATTCACATATAAAACGAAATTAACAAAAAAGATACGTACTACTGACTGCCTCACCGTCAACAGTTACTCGGCTTGGCACCGAAGCATTTGTCATGCAGACAGGTAACGTGCAGCCCACCACCAGGGTTACGGAAGAGGAATCAGACCAGTACCCTTTTCCTCTGCTTAACAGTTGAAGGCTGCAAATACTTGGGTCGCCAAGCCTGAATCTTTCAAAAAAATAGGTCCAAGTTCCTGGGATCGATTGCTCTTGCATAATTGAAGGCATATTTCCGTACTTGTCACCTCTTTTTATATCTTTTGCCTTTCCTGTGTTACATGGGCATATGTTTACTCCCACAACATCACGCATGCAGTCAGTCACTAAGGTAGAAACTAAAGGCCTGTGCTATTTCATGGTTGGCATATTGTGCTACTCCTACAAGCTGGTATACTGATTTCAAATGTCTTCTATTTCTACATGCATATGCCAAAGAGTTCAGGATAGTTAACAGGATCAAAGTCCGATCTTTTTTGGGGTCCTCCCAGCGGAGGTATTTTTGATAATCCTGTCCACTTCCTTTGACTAAACAGTTCGGATAGAAAGATTCGGAACTGTAGTTCTCTGTGTACAGCTACAACATGACAAGACATAGCAGTCACACTGTCATACATTTGCATCCACAGAGGTCCTTATATATCGAATGTCCTTCTCAACAGCACATCTGATTCATTTGGCATTCTGCTTGACTCCTTGGGGTGTTTGCATGCAATCATGTTATCTTCCAACTTTTAGTAAACATCCTGCCAACCTTAACAACGAGTCCTGAAGGTCACGGACCATTTACTGGTGGATGGGAAGTTGGGAACTAAATGCCTGGGAAAAGTAGAGGTGGTTTAAGTTGAAAAAGCAGCAGCTGTGAGATTTAGGCTTATCCCCAAGATTTGGATTCCCATGTAAACCTGCACCAATGGCACACAATCATTAAATGAGCCAAATGATAGAGCTCCGTCCCACTGAACCAGAGTTGCACTCCGCTACACCATCACAGTAATTGACGTAAAGAATCCACTGTGCAAGTTGATAGCATTGCTTCTTCTTCGTCTTCTTCTTCTTCTTCTTCTTCTTATTCTTATTCTTATTCTTATTCTTCTTTTCTTCTTCTTCTTCTTCTTCTTCTTTCATTGTCGTCATCATCGCCATCGTCGTCGCTGCCGTCATCATCTTCATCTTTGTCTTCTTCTTTTCTTTTATAGTTGTTAGCATTGTTTTGTTTTCATCTGTAGTGGAATGATCCCCAAGCACGGACTCGAACAAACAGATATACATGCCCCGTTCTCAAAATGCTTCTGAGTTCTTACCATAATAATTCATCTGTGCTGGCAAAATTATCATTGGGTTTGGCAACAGAACGAAAGGCAGAAGTCAATACCTCATCCAAACATGGACAAACTGCAAGGACATTGAGTGGATGACAGATAACCAGATTGCATCATCAGATTGAAAACCAGATAGACGTATGTTGAACAGAAAGCAGAATGCACCAAGTTACACACCAAATAAGAGCAAAGCAATGAACTAAATTGACAATGCCAGCCCCCATCTGCCTCCACCAACAATGTATCCAACGCCGCTCTCCTGTATGGTGCCTGGTGCCCAACCTACAGTCTCACGACACCTATACTAGCCCACAACTATGTGATGCAACCAGGGGAACTTAAACAGCAGACCGATGTACATGAAGACATCACCCATGCAGATCTCTTGACTCTCCCTCACAGGCTCTACACCATTGCCCAAGGACCACCACCTGCCTCACCGGCTTCATGCACGCGCGGCTTGGATATGGTTGCCGTGCTGCGCTGCGCCCAGCAGCATTGTCCCTCAGCTCCCCTGCGCGTGTTGTCCCCCTGGCCAGCGTTCTTCCTCCAGTGAGTGTGTGCTCGAGCAGCACTCCCGCAGCAGCATCCAGTCAGAATGTGTCTGGACCGGAGGCAGGCAATTTCCTTTATGGAAAGTGTCTGGCTGCGAGGGCCTGGCCTGGCTGCATGCCTGGGTAGCTGTGGCCCAGAACCCAGTATCTGCGTCTAGGGCCCTTCCAGAATGTGCCCTGGGCCTGTTGGTTGCATTGTGCCCAACCAACATACGTAGCTGCTACATTGTCATTGGCCGAAAGGCCTCAGGCCACGCCGTGCCTCTGTGCCCCATTCCTGCTCACACTGCTTCTCATGCTGGGCCTTGTATGTAACCAACTGGCGTGGGGCTCAGGGGTGTTTTAACGGCCCTGCCCTTTCTTAGAGACAAATACTAAATACGTACCAAGGATAATAGTTTCAAACTCAACGAACTGTAGCGGTGCCGAACCAGCCATTGTACCAGACCAAAGCCAAATACCATACCGAACACCAAGTGTGCCGTACCGGTGCCGGACCAATGTCCGTACCAAAAGATCAGAATGCAATATGCTGTTCCAGTACTGTGTAAGTGCGACCGTACCAAGCAAAAGTACAGGACCGCGGACCAGATGTCGTGCCAAACAACACAAGTATCGTGCCTGTACCAACTGTGTCCATACCAGTTCTAGTCCAAACCAAACATCCGTCGCCGCCACTTGTCATAGCAAGAATACCAGGCCGCTGATCTGATTGCCGAGGTAACTCAAGTCCGCCTCAAGATAGTGCGGGAACAAGTACCGCCCAATTGTTGGGACCGCAAAAGCCCCACTCGAGTTCCCACACAGCACTCAGGGGGTCATGGGAAATCAGTGAATCACGAATTAAGTAAAATCACGTAAAATCAGCGAGGGATAACAAATAGAGGAAAATCCGTTTGAATTAAGGAGGCGAAACAGAAAGATAAATTCCCGTTAAAATCAACAAAAGTGCGATTAATAAAAAATTGTTAAATGTTAAAATAATCACTCGTTTTAATTTTCTTTTACCATTTTTAACTTTATTACTTATTTTTATTTCATACTTGAATTAGTTTAAATTTTAGGCCTCTTTCCTCGCCAACTGATCAGCGTGGAAAAGGCCGCGGGAAGGCTGGGAAGCATACCTTCACCCCTCGGCCGGCTGATTCGAAGATAGCCTCAGAATTGACGAAAAAGGATAAGCGTCAGGCAAGGTAGAGGCGGCTGTTCAACTTATTAATTTCAAGGGTTAGTTCCTGTGGTCGATGCAGGGGATTCCAGAGTTCCTATGAGGACCCCTAATTTTCCCCGACCGTTCCGACAAGAGTACCCAACAAATCTTAACTGGGCGTTCGGTTTACGGTCCAATACCCTTTATTTCGGGAGGCCGACCGACCTGCGGCCGCCCGACAACGTCACCAATCCCCCCTTACATGGTCCAACTTCAGGGAGGACGTGGAACTTGAATACCACACGGACTAGGCCCAGGTAAGGCACAAAACCAAAGAGGACCCCAGCAAGGAAACCGATCTCAAATAGAAATTCCTCTCGCACACACTAGGCGCCAGCAGAATCGCAACAATAACAGGGCGACACCTGACCTTCACATGGCCCCACAGCCCCCCACCTAGCCCCACCCCCCCGGCCCTCCTCACCTCCCGGCCGCCCAACCCCCTTCATCCTGACCCCCCAGTCCCCTCATATTCCCACCCCTCGCCCTCCATGAAAAGCAGCCCTCACCTGTGCAAGGAACAACGAGATTGGGAAGAACGGGACAACAATTCTGTCGGGAGAGGAGGGATAATCACAAAAGAGCAACAAGAAACGCAAGCCGGAGAAGGACCCCCTCAAAGGAATGGAACAACTCACGGACAAGCAAGCGGCGAGGGACTGGCCTCAGCAAAGGCACACAGAGAGAACTCGCTACCCACCACAAACAGAATACCCTGGGGTCTCCCAGGGAAGCCTGGGATTTCCAGGGGCAAGACGCTGAAGGAGCTGACCACATGCGAGGCAATCAAGGATTTAAGTAACAGAAGCAGCAAGGTCAAAAGGGCCCGACATAAAACACACACAGCAGACCACCCAATCAGCAACGGAGCAGACACTCTTGGGGTATCTCAGGGCAGCAAGAGTTTTTCTGGCGCTGCACCGAGACCGAACTGAGAACGGGGCGATTCACCAGATCGGCAGGCCCCTTTGGCCAAATAATTGACTGTTTCCTCGGGGAGCATCGTTCGGAGGGGAGAGCAGCAGCGAGGGACTGGAGATGACCCCATCCTCCCGGGGCAGCCGAAGGGGACAGCCAAGATCATGCTTTCGCTCACATATTTTCCACAGGCTAAAAAACCGGAGGCAAAGGGTTGTCGTTCTCCTACAAAGGAAGGTTCCACAAGCTCAAAAACCGGAGGCAAAGGGTTACCGTTCTCCTACAAAGGAAGGCAATGAGGAAGTTAAATAGAACTTTAGCATGAATAAAAGAGGCAAGGGTCTACGGCTCAAGCTTAAATAGGAGCTAGGGGTTCGACATTTATTGACACAGGCTTGAGTTTTAACCTTTAACTCGGGTCCCGATGGGTCCTGTCAAAAGCAGAACACTGGGTAAGGCTCCCATATCCGGTCTGTATGTGGGGAGGCCGGTCCCCCATTAAACAAGATTTCAGCAGGTGCTGCTCCCCACCAATAGATGGAGCCTCCCCCATGGTACCAGCGGTGTCTGAAAACAACGACCACAAGAAATGCAAAAACGAAAAGGGGGACGCAAAACGATGGCCAACCAGGGAACAAAAAAACAAAAAAAAAGGCCACCCGCATATCGGATGGCTCACCTCCAAGATGTTTGTCCACATCAACGCCGGCCGTGTGCCCCGCCCCCAGGGCGCGCTCTTGTTTAATGGCGCGTTGTGTACATTGCGGTATGCGCGCCCCTCTGCACCCTCCCCCACCCTCGATCGCCTTCATCCCCCGCTCCTCACCAATACAACGACACAAATCCAGATGTCACTGTTCGCAGATGACCTTTTTTTTTCTCTTTTTTTTTATAACAGAACAAGCTCCATTCTATTGGTGGGGAGCTGCACCTGCTGGAAAGCGGGTCCAGCGTCCCATATATAAAAATTGTTTGAAAAACAAACTTGAGTAAAAAGAGAGCACTGCCTTTTCAGCCCAATCGAGGCCGCCAAGTAATCAAACTTATGCTAGCAGCACTAATCCTTATAACACAGATCGTTGTAATTCTGACTAGTCTCTTAGTTCAATCAATCAAGGCATACCATTGGAGATCAACCATTGCCAATTACCGTGCTCATCCGAGTGGACGCAGATAGCATACATGCCCTCACACAGGTTATACATCTTTTCTCACTGGTGGCAGATATGAAGGTCAATTGGGGCGCCAAGACAGAGGGATGGTGGCTCCACCCACAAGGAGAACGCCCCCCGCAAGAGCCAACTGTAGCCTGGGTGTGAAAGGAAGAGGCCATCATGATTCTTGGGGTGAGACTCACTGCGGTTGGGCCCCCACTTGATCATGGGGATACGCTGGTGAACATGGCAATAGACCGTCTGGCTAAATGGGATGGACTGCAAACGTCGTTGGTAGGGTGGGTGTTACATCTTCGACGCCACACGGGTCCTACGGGACCCGACTTAGGGCTAGAGGGACACATCAGGGCCTAAAGGCCCGACCTTGGGGTACTACAGGCCATAAAGGCCTCACCTTGGACCAGACCCGACGGGCAGGCCCAAACGACATTACCGTTTAGGCYTGGCGGCGCTCTTGAGGCTGCCGCCCGCCSGTTGGGGCTGAACCGTCCAWCTGGACGGTTCAGGGCACAGCCAGGCCTCGCAGCAGTGAGGCCGGCCTCTGCCCACCGGTATAAAGAACCGGTCCGGCCTCACTCAGGGGATCGACCCACCAGTATACTACGGTGCGGTAAGGTCGGCACCAGAGTGTCGTTGGAGCGCTATGTTTAGCGCAGGAGCGAGGAGCAGGCAGCGCAGCGATTAGCGCAGCAGCAGCGAGCGGAGCAGCAGCAGCGGCGACTGGGTTACCGGCGGCCATAGCCGCCTGAGGTACCGGGAGTTGGAGGTTTCTCTCCTCCCTCCCATCGCCAGTCCCCTCTCTCTCCCTCTCCTCCTCGGCTCCCTCCTTCTTCTTCTTCTTCTTCTTCTTCTTCTTCTTCAGATTGGATACTTGTACTAGTTGGACAGAGATCAGAGTTGGATTTCGGTGATATGAGACTGTGGTACTTACCTGATTGGAGACTTGGAGATTGTTGGGGTTGATACTCGGCTGCATCACAGTTCGGACACCGGTTACATTTGGACGCTGTACCTCCGACAYTGGTGACCTATTGTCCTCGACACTTTGATCTTGTTGGATGACGTTTTGGACTCCCATATCRGTGACCTATCAGATCCTATCTCGGTGACTTTCAGTGCTGTCTACCTGCCCCACCTCCTTCGTCTCTCCTCCCCCATTCATCTGTGTATGTTGTGTAYGGGGCTGAGCACCTTCTKTGTATGGCTCAGACCCCACCATCTCACGATTGAATGTGTGTGGAGTGATGCTATGTAAGTCAGTCTATGTGAGTCAGTCCGTTTATCAGACTTCCGTTGCATCTATACTCATCCTACATTGGTTGATTCTTGGTTCTGCCCATACTCATTGGAGTATGTAACAGTNGAGTCAGTCCGTTTATCAGACTTCCGTTGCATCTATACTCATCCTACATTGGTTGATTCTTGGTTCTGCCCATACTCATTGGAGTATGTAACAGTTTTGGTATCGGAGCAGACCATAAAACGGATCTGCTCACAAAGGTAAGTCTGGTTAGGAATTAGATTGTTCTTCAATCTTCCCAATCAGCGCTGAATTACTATCGAGTTCAAAGTTGCAAATTTTTTTCTCTTTCAGTATTCTATTTAGTTCGGCATTTCCGTTCAATTCGGTATTCAGACTTATAATTCGGATTTCTGTTTTCTTCCGGTATGCTGCTATTTGAGTTCTGATTGAGTAATACTAATCCGATAATTGATTAAGTTTCGGATTTCTGAGGTTACACGAATTAGGGTTGAATCAGTATCATGTTGAAATTCGGCGTTTCTGATGTCCATTCAGCATTCCGTTTTTCGGCATTTTTGCTGTAAATCCTATATTTCGTTGTCTTTTGGTTTTCCGCGGTCTTTCAGTATTGGAAATTAGGGTTACGAGAATCTTTGGGTTTTAGATCAACTTGGGGAAATTCGAACGTTTTGGGACCGTAAATCCGGAAATTTCGCCGAAACGAGCGAATTTTTTTTTCGTTCTCCTTGTTTGAGAAATTCCGAAAATAGGTTTAGGCTTTTAAAAATCGGATTTTGACGGTAGAAATTCCCGAAAATTCGCGTTTTTGAAAATTCGAGCGTTTTTGAAAATTCGAGCGTTTTTTCTTCTGAAATTTTCCGAATTTTTTTTAGCACACTAAGCCGTATCTGACCCTCAAACAGTAACGGTGAACTCCC